TTCATCAAAAGCACTATCCCTATTTTCTGGCCTCTCTTAATTATCTTGACCATTTCCTTCATCATTAGTGCCTGCCCTTTTCATTGAATTAAATAAACTTTAAGTTCCCTCAATATCCTCTACTAAGAATCTACAAACTCATCATCATCACTATCTTCACCTAAACCACCTTGTGTGTAATATGCAGGATCAACACCCACTCTCACATCAAAATAACCTGCTTCATCCCCAACTATTGAAGGTCCAACATTATCCCCAACATTTGAAGTCCTAGCAGTAGCTTCACCCACATATTCTTTTGTTTCAACCTCAACCTCAACATGATTGTCAACTTCTTCTTCATTGTGCATAGCCTCTCCAATATCTGCAGCTTGTTCATTCACTTCTTGATCAACCACTAGCTCTTCAATATCTGCAGCTTGATCATTCACCTCAACATGATCAACAGCTTCTTCTTGAACCCCCCCCCCTTCTAGCCCTTTGGCCCTTCATCATGCCCTTGACTATTCCCATCACCATTCCCTTCATTAACATTGTTTTCAGGTGGTGATAAGGCAAGATAAATTTCAGGGCCTTCCTGAACACTATGCTCTACGAAAAGTTCGATGAAATTCCTTGACAGTGCATGACTTATCATATCCATTGCACTCTCATCACTAAAAACCCTCATAATACCTTGCTCAAGCCTAAAACCAGGTCCGAGATGATAAATACTCTTAACATTTTGATACCCATTATCTTCAAATACCCCAACTATCTGAAAATAGCTCAATTTGTCAGTATCTATCCTAATATCATCAACTATTCCATCAACATACCTCAAATGAGGCCCCTGCCATTCACACCTCCCTTGATAATGCACTCTGACAGTGCATAGAGTGAAAGCCATACCCAATCCTAGTAATATAAAAAAATAACTCAAATTAAAACAGTGCAAAAAGCCACATCATGTAATTATCTTAACAATTATGTATCGGAATTGTTCATACTTCATTGAGTTATAGAACACAAGAAATTACTACTAAGTTCTTTGAATTGCTTGAGTATACTGATAAGGGCTAACAATGCTGGCTATAGCCTATAGCTAGACCATATACCTTGATAATTTGCTTTCAAATAGTATAAAGCAAGCTGACAAGAAAGATTTGTAATGTATAACAAGCTGAAATTCTTTCTGTATCAATAAACTGTTGACAGATGAAACATCATTTCATGACATTAATCATATGGTAATAATTATTCATATACCGGCAAGTCTAAGCATAAAATACCATAATCACCATCACAAAAACTTGGTGAGAATTGGGAAATTAGGTAAATATAGTTAACCAGAAAAAGCAAGTAGAAAAGAAAAAAACAAGAAACTCAAAATTGGGTTGCTAATAATTAATTGCAGCAAAAAGAATTCAAGTACAAACAGAGAAGCTTTCAATTTTTTCAAATGGAGAAACTTTAACCCAAATAACAGAGAAGCTTTCAATTAATTAAATACAAAAAAGAACTAAAGCTAATCAAACTAAATAAAAAGAAACTCACCTCAATTTTGCAGAATTGGGATCCTAACTCTCGAATCCCCTTTCTCTCTCTTCTTCACGAACCAGACCAGAAAACGCACAAATCCACCATCGATTTTGCTCGAAATAAACTATGTAAGCGAATTTATGGTAAGAAAAGCCTAAAAACTAGGGATTATAGCAGATTTGGAGGAGTTTCCGCAGAAATTTTGAAGAACCTTAGCTCTGAACTTTGGGGGTTTTTTTTTTTCTTTCGAACGATGGGTTTTTAATGACTGAGGATTTTTTTCACTATTTATATGATAACCAATTTTTTTCTTTTTTATTTTAAATATTTCTTTTTCATTTTTTTCCACCTGGCTAAAAAATATAACACGTGTCTTTTTCTTTTTACCCCTTACGCGCTTTAACGGCGCGTGCATTTCAAATCCTTGTTTCCGTCAAACTACATCCTGATTTGATCGTTTTCAGTAACGTTATATCCTGAATTGGCCCTTTTGAAACGTTACATCCTAAATTGATCGTATCGGCAAACGTTATATCTTGAATTGGTTATTTAGCCCACCAAAAGCTTACACCGCCTCATCTAATTTCCTTCTCCTTTCAATTCCAACAGTCAAAAAAGTTTCCCTCTTTCTCTCAAACTTTCTCAATTTCCTTGTGCTCTGCAATTTCTTCTTTTTCTTCCTCATCCAAGAAAGCCCTAAACCACTATTTTCCAGACATTTTAGCTTGCTTTTTTTTTTGTTTCTGAGTAGTGGAAAGATCAAACGACCATGGCAGATTTCAAGGAAATCGATTCTGAACCCACCCTACGTAGAAGCAGACGTGAAGGGAAGAAAACCCCTCTTTGGGGTTTATGGAAAGATGAAGATCAAACCCCAATGGACAGAGGTGGAACCACGTTATGGCTTGCCCCGCCCCCCACGTTATTACACAAAGTTTAGTTTTATACATGGGTTTTTATAGATATGCATCATTGTTTGGTTTTGAGTTGGCATTGGAGCAAGGTTGTGACAATTGTGTTTTTGAGAGTGATTCCTTGGTTGTTGTAAGAATGATTAATAGTCAAAACCCGTCTTGGTGGGAGGGTGGTCTACTTATTTATGAAATACAGGATTTGGTGTCTCTGCTTGACTCTTGTATAGTTTTCTATGTCAATAGGGAGGCCAATGTTTTGGCACATAGATTAGCAAAGTTACATGTTGATCATGTGTGGTGCAAGAGTTTACCTTCCGACGTTTGTAATCCTGATTTCTTTTTGCTACTCATGAACATGGTATTGATTAGAAATCAGGATTACAACCACTAGTTTTTAGTTTTTCAAAAAGAAATTTCTTTTTATGATTGTGAAGAATTAAACTAGGTATTGCCTATTTTGAAATGTCTCATAATTTTGTTAACTAAGACAAAACAATACACAAGTGTAATATTGTTGTTATAATGTTCTAATCATTTTATTATCAATAACAAATTGAGATGGAGATTTTGTAAGTGACAAAACAATTCTTAGACAAATGGTACTTGAATTTTGGTATTTAAGTATAAATTTTAATTATTAATGCTTGTACGTTTTATTATAAGAATAATAAAATATGTGTGTACACATACACATGTATTTATGTACATATATATTGACCCCCCAAGATGGAAATCCTGGTTTCGCCCCTGAAGTGGGACAAAATTCACATAGAATAGGACTTGAACCAGGACCTCATAGTTTAGATACACTAAAACCTACCAGTTAAGCTAATGTAACTACTATCATTACCATGTTTACTTTGTTGCTATTAGTTTGATTTCAAGTGCCACATTTGAGATTTAATTTTCTTATTTACTTCGAAATTAAACGAATGAAGCATTATGATTGTTTTCTTTTTTTTTTCGAAGAAAAAGACGGGTTTATTTAAATGTCTAATCGATTTGCTGGGTTTATGGATCTTTTTGACATCCTAATTCCATACATAGACATAACTTTTAAATCAATTCAGATGGTTAACTTTATAGAGTAATTCTTTAAAAAAAACACTTTATATGGTAATATCATGAGGATTTGACACAAGTCTCATTTTCTTAATTAATTTTGTATTTAAAATTAAAAATTATTCCTTGGAGGACACATGTCAACCCTTTAACCCCACATGTGTATTCTATTAAACTGCACTAACAGAGTGTTCTATAAAATTTCCATATATAAGCCATGTATTCAAAAACTTGATTACTTCATTTCTTCCCCCTACTGATCTGTGTTTCGATATCGCTGCTTTCTTTCTTACTCACCTTTAACCCATCAGTCTTCTTTCCTCCTCTTTGTTGGTGACCTTTCTGGTTTCTTTTAGTTTCTTACTTGCTTAAACCCATCTGGTTTTCTAACTTGCCTCCTTCATATTGCGTTTCTTTTGCCATCAAATCGATTTTCCTTGTTTCCTTAGTGTTTCTTTAATCTTTTTTTTCACCAATCACCATGAACAACAAATCTTTCTTTGAAATTTTGTCACCTCCCTATCGTCGCCCACCCTTATTCTTCCATGTATCTGGTGCCCAGGGAAGATAATTGACTGTATACTGACCAGGGGCGAACGGAGGGGGGAGCAGACAGGGGCTGTCGCCCCTCAAAACCTCAAAGAGTTAGCTTTATAGTATTAGTTAAGAGTTGAAAAAATTGGTATATTTAACTTTTAGCCCCCCCAAATTTTGTAATATTCCATTTGGCCCCCCTTAAGCTACCAATTCTATATCCACCCTTGCCAATGGAAGATTTAGATTCAAAGGGAATCAATTTTATAATTTGTATTTTCTGGCTGAAATTTGCGGCGGATTACCTGAAACCAACATGATCTCCACTACTAGACACAGAAGAAGACTTGAAAGGAAGAAAACCCCTCTTTAGGGTTCTAAAGACAGAGAAAATGGTTGAACAAGAGGAAACGGCTGTGGCTGTCCCAAGAAGAAGAAGAAGAATGTTATGATCCAAGATCAGTCAGCAGCTGCTAAAGTTCTACCAGTTCAAGTCTATCAACGCAGATCAAAGAACAATTAAGGCTGGAATTTATGAATCTTTGTTTTAGATATTTTATTTATAAGTATGTGTCGGTGTGTTTGTTAGTTATCACTGCCAGGTGTTTAGAAGGCAGAATCTTATGCATATACTTTATTTAGATTGTTGACACCTGTGTCTGTTAGTTTTATATTTGAATAATTCAAACTGCTTAAACTTAGGAAAAGCAGTTCAGTTAATTCTATAAGCTTAAGTACTTGTGTGAAAGACAATAAAGGTGTGGAATTTCTTATAAAAGTTCTTTAGTCTTAAACTCATGGAGATCGTTGGGTTCTCTTTAACGAGTCCAAATGTATAATCAAAGATAGGTCAAAAAGGAAGAAAAACTAAAAAAATCTGGTGAATTAATACCAGACTTCACTGTCCAGGGTCCTATAACTAGATCAAAAGGGCTAAATCCTAACAAATTGGTATCAGAGCCAGTAGTTATGGGAGATTTGTGTTCCTTTCAACAACAATTTGAGACTTTCCTCAAGATGTATGAAGAAAATCGTGCAAAGGATAACCAGGAACGACAGCAAGATAGAGCATCAATGGCGGCTCAACAACAGGCGTTAACCGAGCGATTAGATGAATTGTCAAGAGATTTGTTCACAGGAAGGCATGAAGGACGTGTTGATGGAGGCGAAGGGAGTGTTAACAGAGGCATACGTGAAAGAAGGGGAGTGGGAGAGATTCCAAAAGCAGCCCCGTTTGTTCCTAAATATACTAAATTGGATTTTCCAAAGTATGACGGTTCCATAGACCCCTTGAGTTGGATTAATAAATGTGAGCATTTCTTCAGGCATCAAAATACACCAGCAGAAGAAAAAGTGGGGTTGGCTTCCTTCTATCTTAAGGGAGATGCCCAGTTGTGGTTCTTGAAGGTGGAAAGAGACAGACCATCAATTACTTGGGACGAATTCAAGAGACAATGTAATCTGCGATTTGGTCAACCGGTTCGAAGTAACAAGTTGGGAGAATTGGTGAAATTACGGCAGATAGGGTCGGTTGAAGTGTATCAATGCTAATTTGAACAATTATCTGCCCGAGCAAGTTCATTGTCTATGGAGCAAGAAGTACAAATTTTTATCAGTGGATTACAGGAGTATATTGCTGTGGAAGTAGAACTGCATCAGCCACCAGACCTCACTAGTGCCATGAGCCTAGCCCGATTGTATGAAAGACGAGGTAATCGCAACAAAAGTGAGTCTTCTTCCCTGCGGCGAATTGGTTCCGTTCAGCCGCGTTCTTCTCCCTTTGTGAAGAAACTGAATCAAGCCGAATTGGAGGACAGAAAAGCCAGAGGACTTTGTTTCAATTGTGATGAACGTTTTACTCCCGGGCATCGCTACAAGAAGCTTTTTTGGCTTGAGGTTTTAGAGGATAATAGTCAAATTGAAGAAGGCGGAGCAGTGGAAACTTTAGAAGATGCTGAAATTTCTATTCATGCCATCACCGGAACTCCATCTTCACGAACAATGTGGATTAGAGGGTCCTTGGAAGGATATCCACTGCTGATACTAATTGATTCTGGTAGTACCCATAGTTTTTTGGATTCAACTTTGGCAAGAGAATTGAATTTGCCGATTGAGTACAAGGAGGAACTAAGAGTCATGGTAGCAAATGGGGAGCGAGTCTATTGTGAAGGAGTCTACCGTGGAGTATCCTTGCTTCTGGGGAATTCTATTTTTACTCTTGATTTGTTGTTATTATCTTTACCAGGTTTGGGTGCTGTTTTGGGAGTTATTTGGCTACAAACATTAGGGCCCATTACATGGGATTTTAACTTGATGAAAATGAGTTTTATAAAGAATGGACAACTCATAGAATTAATGGGGGAAAAGGAATCACTTGCTATTTGTCCAAGAATTTTATCTTTATCAGTTGTTTCAATAGACAGAAACTCTGAGTTACAAAGGCTGCTAGCAAATTTCAGGGCTTATTTCAGGAACCAACGGGATTACCTACAACACGTGATTGTGATCATCGTATTCTCTTAGAGCCTGATTCTTCACCTGTGGTTGTTCGACCATACAGATATCCTCATTTACAAAAAGATGAAATTGAGAAGCAGTGTCAAGAGATGTTAGATAAATGAGTAATTCGACCAAGTCAGTCTCCTTTTTCTTCACTAATATTGTTAGTCAAGAAGGCTGATGGGACATGGCGATTTTGTGTGGATTATCGTGCTTTGAATGCTAAGACCATCAAAGACAAGTTTCCAATTCCAGTGATCGAAGAGTTGTTGGAAGAACTTCATGGTGCTAAATTCTTCACGAAGTTGGACTTGCGTTCTGGTTACCATCAAATTCGAATGTCTCCGACTGATGTTGAGAAGACTGCTTTTCGGACTCATCATGGGCATTTTGAATTTCTTGTCATGCCTTTTGGGTTGACAAATGCCTCTTATACATTTCAAGCTTTGATGAACTCAGTTTTCCAGCCATATTTAAGGAAGTTTGTTCTTGTTTTCTTTGATGATATACTTATCTGCAGTAGAACTTGGGTGGAACACATTCAACATTTAAGAGAAGTTTTCTCTACTCTACTGAACCATAAGCTCTTCTTGAAGCAATCAAAGTGCAGTTTTGCTCAGTTACAAGTGGCATATTTGGTTCATATTATCTCAGAACAAGGAGTTTCTGCTGATCCCAGTAAGGTGGATGCTATGTTACAGTCACCTATGCCTAATTCTGTCAAGGCATTGGGGGTATTTTTTGGGATTGACAGGTTATTATCGTAAGTTTGTGAAGGATTATGGTTTAATTGCAGCTCCTTTGACTACCATGTTACGCAAGAATGCTTTTGTTTGGTCAGATCAATCTAAGGCTGCCTTTGATACACTTCGGGATGCGATGTCTCTAACACCAGTCTTGGCTTTATCGGACTTCTCTCAAACCTTTGTGGTGGAATGTGATGCATATGATGCTGGCCTGGGAGCAGTATTACAACAACAAAATAAACCCATTGCTTATTTTTCCCGTCCTTTGGCTGCTAGATATGTTAAACTTCCTGCTTATGAGAAAGAATTGATTGGGCTGGCTAAGGCAATTTAACATTGGAGACCTTATTTATGGGGCAGAAGCTTTATAATTCTAACTGATCATTACAGTTTGAAATTCTTATTAGAGTAATGTATTATAACTTCTCCTCAGCAACGTTGGCTCAGCAAGTTAATGGGGTTTGATTTTATTGTGGAGTATCGTGCTTGACGCGAAAATGTGGTAGCGGATTCTTTATCTCGCCAGCATGACGATTCTGTTATCCTTGCTGCTATTTCTGCTCCTCAATTGGATTATTTGGAGGATATTAAGGCTGCAATTAGTACTTCTATAGCCCTACAACAACTTCGTGATCAGATTTTGAATGGAGAACTAAAGGATATTTGGTCTTTTCAAAATGGGCTGATTTTCTACAAAGGTCAAATTTTCTTCCTCATGATTCTCCTTTCCAAGTTGTTCTTTTATCTGCCATACATCATCAGGCACATGAGGGATATCAGAAAACATTGAAGCGCCTTGCTTCTGAATTTTTTGGAAGGGAATGAAGGAACAAGTTCGGAATTTTGTTCGTACTTGTTCTATATGTCAGAAAAATAAGGTTGAATACTTACAACCAGCAGGTTTATTGCAGCCATTATCAATTCCAGTTCAGGTTTGGTCTGACATCTCTTTAGATTTTGTTGAAGGATTACCTGTTTCCCATGGGAAGTCTGTTATGTTGGTGGTTGTTGATAGATTTTCAAAATATGCTCATTTCCTTCCCTTATCTCATCCTTATACGGCTATTTCAGTGGCGAGATTATTTTTTGATCATGTTGTTAAGTTACATGGAATTCCAGAATCCATTGTTAGTGATTGTGATGCCACTTTTACAAGCTCTTTTTGGAAGGAATTATTTAGATTAAGTGGAACTAAGTTGTCTTCTAGTTCTTCTTACCATCCTCAATCAGATGGCCAGACAGAGGTAGTCAATCGTACGGTGGAGATGTATTTGCGTTGTTTCACAGGTGACCGTCCTAAGAGTTGGGTGGATTGGGTGTCTTGGGCTGAGTATTTTTATAATACTGGCTTCCATTCTTCTCTTCGTGCTACCCCTTTTGAAGTGGTATATGGCAGACCCGCCCCTCGTTTGTTACCCTATTCTTCAGGTTTATCTCATATTCAAGCTGTGGATCATGAATTGCATGCCCGAGATATGGTTTTACAAGAGTTGAGAGAGCAACTGTTACATGCCCAGAATGTTATGAAGACTTATTATGATTCTCAACATAGGATGTGTCATTTGATGTGGGGGATATGGTGCTTTTAAAGCTTCAGCCTTATCGTCAAGTTTCAGTGGCTTCTAGGCGTAATCAGAAATTAACTCCTCGCTTTTATGGACCTTTTCCTATTGTTGATCGAGTTGGCTTGGTTGCTTACAAAGTGCAGCTTTCAGAAGGCTCTAGACTTCATCCAGTTTTCCATGTTTCTTGTTTAAAGAAGTTCCATGGTACTGAATCTTGTTCTTTTACATTACCTCTTCTTCATAAAGGGGTGCCTATTCCAACTCTACAAGCCTTGATGGATTCAAGAATGAAAAATGGTAAAAAAGAGGTTCTCATTCATTGGGAAGGATTTTCTCCCGCTGATGCTTCTTGGGAATCTGCTGATCATATGCAACTGCGTTATCCTCGTTTCGCGCTTGAGGACAAACGCTCTTCAAATGGGGAAAGTAATGTTATGATCCAAGACCAGTCAGTAGCTGCTAAAGTTCTATCAGTTCAAGTCTATCAACGCAGATCAAAGAACAATTGAGGCTGGAAGGTATGAATCTTTGTTTCAGATATTTTATTTATAAGTATGTGTTGGTGTGTTTGTTAGTTATCACTGCCAGGTGTTTAGAAGGCAGAATCTTATGCATATACTTTGTTTAGATTGTTGGCACCTGTGTCTGTTAGTTTTATATTTGAATAATTCAAACTGCTTAAACTCAGGAAAAGCAGTTTAGTTAATTCTGTAAGTTTAAGTACTTGTGTAAAAGACAATAAAGGTGTGGAATTTCTTATAAAAGTTCTTGATTCTTAAACTCTTGGAGATCGTTGGGTTCTCTCTAACGAGCCCAAATTTATAATCAAAGATAGGTCAAAAAGGAAGAAAAACTAAAAAATCTGGTGAATTAATACCAGACTTCACTGTTCAGGGTCCTATAACTAGATCCAAATGGCTAAATCCTAACAAAGAAGAACTAAAACCAAAGAGACAAGCTTGCCCTAACCCTAACCCTAACCAACCCCCTCTGTTGCCTGAATCTTTTAGGTAATGTATCGCTCAAAAGGGTAGTTCAAATTTGAAATTTGTCATTTAAAAATCTCTGTTTTTCACTGATCTCAGGTCTGTTGCGGGCCGCTTATCGATTCCAGTTTCTCAAGTCGAAACTCAATTTTTAACCCAAATAGAGGCAGATGAATTGGATATGGATACCAAAGAGAACAAGTCCATCGAGGTGGGTTTGATCAAGCCATCCATGAGGGAATTATCCCGTATGCAATTGACCAAGTGGACCATGAAAAGTCCCATTTATGCTCTGTATCCATCCTCGTTGTGGAGGAGAATGGACTGAAAGTTGATGATATTGTTTAGATTTGGTCTTTTCGAGTTGACTCCAAGCTCTGGTTTGCACTTGTTAAAGTCTAATTAGATTAATCCAGTTGGAGCAGCCATGAAAAATTTTGATGTTTTCTGTTGTAGGGCAATGACATCTGCAAAATAGAGTTGTCTTAAATTTTTTCTTGTATGATTATGATTAGGATTTTGATATATTCTTTAGTTCTTTCTATGTAATTAACTATTAGAGGTGGCAATCGGGCAGGTCAGGTTGGGTTCGGGTTATCGGGTTCGGGCTTGAGTTAGGTTGGGTTGATTCGGGTTCGGGTTAAATTTGGGTCAGGTTGAATCGGGTTCGGATCAATTTTGGGTCAGGTTAATTCGGGTTCGGGTGGGTTTTGACCAAATCATTTACTCATTTTTTTCCCGGATGAGTAATGTCATTAAACTTTTCAATTTAAAACATATTATTATTCATATAAAAAACTATACACCATAAATGAAATTTTCAGAAATTATTATTTATTTTCAAATGTTAGTAATGAATTCAGGTTTTTTTTAGGTTCGGGTTCGGGTTTTTTCGGGTTTGAGCTTTTTCAGGTTCGGGTTCGGACGAGTTTAGGTATTTAACTTTTTTAGTCAATTGGGTTCAGGTCGGGTTCGGATTCAGATTTTTCAGACAGATTTTTCTCGGGTCGGATTCATTTTGCCACCTTCACCTTTTATTCCCTCTTCTAGTGCAAAAGTAGTTCACTTGAAATGTCCATTTAGCACTTTGATCCGCAAACAGTATTTAATGACATTTATGTATGAAGAAATTAAGTATAATTAAGTCTAACTCCAACCATTATTAAGAAGCTTCATAAATACTATATTAATTCCACAGTCTATTGATCCATATTTCGTTGTTGAGACATTATAAGAAACAATAAAAGGAGGATATGAAAATACCAAAAAAACCAATCAAAACAACTCTTCTCATGACTTGAAGAATAAATGAGGAGGGGTATTTTGGTACTTTCATGCTCGTTTTTTTCGTTATTTTGGTTGATGATTGAGGGTATTTTGGGAACTTTGTGAAAAAGTTACTATTCATGGACCCCATTCTCCATAAACTAATATTTTCTGTTGGATTATTTATCTAATGATCCTCATACTTTTATGCTTTATGCTATTTAGTCCTTTACAATTATAGGTTGGACGATTAAACGCGTTGCCTTTTATTTTTGTATTTTTTTTCTATTTGTCCGATTAAACTGATTCAAGTGTCTATTTAAAAGTAATTTCATGATCTACAATTTTCATTAAGAACTCAAAAGTAAATTTTGATGTTTTGATTATAAAAAATGCTTCCGAAATTTTGTGGTTTTGATTGCCGGTTAATTTAATATCGTATAATTTTTTGTCCAAATGTCCAATTGAGTAAAGTGTCGGTTAAAATGTTATTGCATGATTTATGACTTCCATGAAGGACCCGAAAGCTAAATTTGATCTATGAGTTTCGTGAAAGGTTCAAAAGGGAATTTTTACGTTTTAAGATCTTTATTAACAAACATTTTCTTATCTGGATTATTTATCAAATGACCCTCATACATTTCTACTTTATGCTACTTAGTCCTTTACAAATTCTATCTGAATCTAACGTTTAATCTTTATTTTTTTATTATTTGTTATATTTGTCCGATTAAGTTGATTCATGTGTCTATTAAAAGGTAATTTCATGATCTACAACTTTCATGAAGGACTCAAAAGCAAATTTTTATGTTTCAATTCAAAAAAATGCTTCCTAAATTTTTTCATTTCGATTGTGTCTATTTAATACCATATAATTTTCAATCCGCATGTCCAATTAAAGTTATTCAAGTGTCGGTTAAAAGATTACTGTATAATCTACGACTTTCATGAAGAACCCGAAAGTTAATTTAATCTGCGAGTTTCATGAAGGGTTCAAAAGGAAATTTTTATGTTTCAAGATCTCCATTAAGAAATATTTTCTTATTTGAATTAGTTACCAAATTATCCTCATATTTTTCTATTTTATACTACTTAGTCCTTTCCAAATTCTATCTTACTCGATTTAGCACATCATTTTTTTTATTTTCTTTGTTCTATTTGTATAATTAAGGTAATTCGGGTGTCTATTAAAAGGTAATTTTATGATCTACAACTTTTATGAAAGACCCAAAAGCTAATTTTTATATTTCAGTTCTAAAAAATGCTTTTAAAATTTTGTGATTTTGATTGACAATCTATTTAATATCATATTATTTTTTATCCAGATGTCCGATTAACAAAGATCACTCTATAAAATTAAAACTAGTGATATGGAAACGTTGCAGATAACTTAACTATAGGAATCAAAAGGGCTTTTTTTTTCAATTCAGAGGATACAAATACCTTGTCAAGTTATAGTAATTAGTCAAACTTTGAACTTTCTATGTTTAAGTAAATATATAAATAACTAATAAGGTAAAATGGCTAATTAATTAGAGGTCTCTCCTGGTATATGCTGTAAGAAATTGCAGAAAACAACTCATGCAAAGTGAGAGGATTTTACCATAAAGACAATCCTGAATCTCCAAAATTGTAATTCAGAAATATAATATCAACTCTTTACTCCAACTTAGCTCTAAACCTTACTTGATAGCTTAGCTTCACATTCTGTAATTCAGAAATAGAAGTCTCACCTTTCAGATTCTTTAACTTTTGCATCTCTTTTATATTCATCAATTCACAGTAAAATTGGACAATGTTGGAAGATTTGTTAATTCACCAATTCCACTAGGCATTTCCTTTATCAAATATATGCACTAGTAATATCTAGATGACATAAGTTAACTAAAATTCCGACTAGGCAATTCTAATATTTATAAAAATTTACCTTTTCAATATTCTTTCTCCTAAGTAGATAATTGGTTGCATTGCATTGCATAAAAGTATTTGATCTTTCTCTAGCCTTTTGTCTATGACTTGGTGGGGTTTGTAAAAACCCCTAACCCCTTGTTTCAATATTCCCACTTCCAGCAATGCAAATATTGAAAGTGTGTAAAAGGAGCATTTGGAAAAGGGTCTTAAATTTCTCAGGCCAGAACAGGACAAAATGAACAAACAGACAGAGGCTTAGCTTTGGCCTACCTATGGCTATTCCAACAAGTTAACTTAAACCTTAATAAATCCGAACAGTTTCGTTTCGCAGCGCAAGATCCGATAAAGTGAAAAAAGTAGTCAGCCGCCCGACACTGAAGTGAAAGCCAAGGTTAAAAATAAAAATGGAGTTCCTCAACATTCCCTTTTACTGCTTGATTACAACTTCATTGAAACTTCTCCATAAACTCCGAACCCAAACACAACTCACTTTGAAAGTATAAACACTACACAGCCGTGTGTATATATATATATATATATATTATAACTATAAGCCATGAACTTTGCTACTCTCTAGATTTTGTTCTCTATTCTTTTAGCACTTTTTGTTAAAAAAATGTGTATATATAATAGATTAGCTACTGTTTAAAAAAGTTACTCCATATACAACTTCACCAGGAGATTTTATTGTTCTAATGTGAACTTTATGGTGATATTTTTATTTATTAGTGTAAAAAAAAAAAAAACAAAGATACAAATCTTAAAAGATAGCTAAACCTACTTAAGAAGGTACTGCTGCAGGTTCATTTCAGAACTTTGGACTCGAATTAGAATCAAGGCTAAGGGCATTGGAGGAAGTAGTAATAGGGATAAGCCCAAAATGAAGAATGAAGAAACAAGAAACAGAAGAAACCTTTCTAGTTGTCTATCTTTCTGTTCTTCAAGCTAACCTCTGCTTAGATTTTAACTTTAGCCCCTCTAGTTAATGATTTGGAACAGAACTTCATTGTTTAGAACTAATGTAGTCATTTTGCAGTACTGTTTACTTGTCTTACATGCTTGAACCTGGTTAATTTATGAATTTTTCTTGTTAATTTACTAAGTGTTAAATTTTATTTAGAGCCTACCACTTCTTTTGTATCTAATGATGTCTGCATTATTGCATAGCTATTAGTCTGCAATTTCCAAATGTGGAAGTGTTAGCATTTACAGAGGTATAGTAAAGGAAAATGAAGAAGAGTATGAGGAGGAAAATGAGGAATTGCACAAGGGAGTTCTAGTAAATTAAGAGACTAGAACTACTCTGTCAAATGGAGAAGATGAACTGTGGAAAATGGAAGAGAATTTCATTCATATAGACATATAGTCATTACTCATGAGTCATTCAACAAATACAGGTGGCATACATGCAAGGCAGCAAAAGTCTATAACAGCAATCACCTATAATTTAGTTCCATTATGCTAGTAACTTTTGATGCCGAGAGCCAAGATCAAAACCCATATTTTACTTCAAAAAAAATTTGAGTCATTTGACGAGGTGAGGATATGTAAAATTGTACATCTTGGAGCATGTGAAAATGGAAACTTTTTTTTTTTTTGAAAATGGAAACTATACCTTTGGTGATTCAAGCACAAGCATTAAATATTTGGATTGCATATGCCAAAAGTATCCTTATTGACATTTTTGATGCTTTCTATAATTTACTATATGCCTATTTGCCTGTAGGAAAGTAGGAAACAATCTTCATCTTTTTTAAGCTTTCATGTCTTTGTGGTTTATCCCTACTATATATTGTTATTTATTTATTTATTATTTATTTTATTATTTACCACTTGTTGCTGAAAAATTTTCAGGATAATAAATTGACTAATTATCCAAAAGAAAAATATTAAGGACTTTAATATAAATAAAATAGGATTACTGAAAGCAAAACAAACTAGCCAAGGTCTCAACTTTGCAGGCTGCAATATTGCCTTTTAAAATCTACCTTCCTGAATTACTCCAGTAACAAAAATGGAAATTTGCCAGCTTTTGCCCTTAAGGGTTTCACCGGTAAATAGGCTAAAACCTTCTCTTTCATAGTTTTTATAGTTTCAAAAGAAACGCGTAGTGGAGTGGAGTCTGTGGGAAAAAAGTTGTGATTTTTACAG